TTAAAAAATGGGGGTGAGAGGGTATTGAATGCTTAACCTGTATCAATTGATAGAGAAAGTGGTAACATTATTAGCCATCTAAAACACTCAAATTATTAGGTCAGTTATTTTATCATCATGAATTCTTTCAATTCATCACTTGCTTCACTTGACAAATGTTTTCGTTTGGATTTTTCATCATTACTTGTAAGTGAAATTGGTTGATGATTATATCTTTCTTTTTTCCTTCTTTTTTGTGCTAGACCTTTTTTTTTTCTTGGTATAATAAGTGATATGAGTTGATAAACTTTTTACATTTTTTCTGTGATTTTGTAAGATTTTAAAAACTTGAAAGTGTCTATTCCTTTGAAAGTTTTATAGATATTACTCATTTTTAGAATGAGAAAATTGAATATAACCAAATTTCATTGGTCAAAAATTTGAACGTTCCCAATATATTCTATGATTATTGACTTATAATTGAGTCGATTTTTTATATTTATAATAATTCATCCATTTTTTGCTATACTTTATCATAATTTGTTACTTAGATAAATTTGTACTTAGTGTTCTTTTATAAATTTAATCTTCATATTTAGAGTTATATGTCTTTTAACATTGTTCTCTTTCTCCTTCTCTAACAGCCTTGACAAATGTTTCCATATTTTTTTAAAGACTTGTAACTTATTGCTAAAATATACTTTAATACATGACAGACTTTTGAGCACACACATTCCTTCTGAATCAAGGCTTTTGCCCAAGAGCACCAAATATCTTGAGGAAGGATTGTTTTCATCTGCCTTTGCAACTATCCGAGCCGTGTTGTGGAGCATCCTAATTTACATTAAGCATACCAATCAATTTGAATATTAACTTTTCTATAAAAGGTATACTACCCACCTCGTTACTTGTTGAAATAAAAGAAGATGAGTTGTCTACAACAGTTTAATGTGAACTGTTAGTCAGTGCTTTATAATTAAATAGTGGACCTATCTTGGAACAGATTAGTTGCTAAACTCACAGGAGGTTATGAAGGACTACCTACAGAACTGTCACTAAAGACTGGGCAAGCACCTTTTTATCTCTGTAATTTTTACACTGACATCACTTAAGATACAGTAGCCATGTCTTTTAGGACAAGACAAATGAACATCAAGATAAATTGCAAGGGTGGTATTAGTGATTATTAATACTTTAATTTACCAAAAGCAAATACTTTCATAAAGCATATGAGACTTCAAAAGATAATACAATTCCTGAAAATTCTCCTGTCTTCTATTACCAAAATGAAAGTCTCTTTGTGGTAAAACTATATTCACTTTTTAAATTTCTAAAATAGAAATAATAACTGCCTTGCTTACATAAAGACAGAAGAATCTGGTACCTGAAAGCTTTATGCGTGTTGGGATTCCTTTTTATTATTTTCCCTCACTAATGTATATCCTTTTAGAATTATAAAAATTATATAAACAAATATCAACATAAATTTTTTTAAATTGACTATAGAATATTCTATGAAGACATGCCCTATACTTGAGTTTAAAGTGATTCAAATAATAATAAAGTCCTGTAATAAAAAACAAATTAAGTCAGAATATACGGTATTTGTTTTTACTGAGTTTTATGTTTGATTTCTAAACTCTTGAACAGATAAATTAGAACTGAAAATTAAGTATGCTTGGAGGTGCCCTATAAAATGTAACAACCAGTGAAGTTCTCAAAAAAAGGAAATTTTCAGATGGGGTTCTAATTAAATATACTATTCTAAAACTTTAAGTATATCATTGAGCAAAATAATCACATTTCAATTCAAGGGACTTTAAAAAGTAATTGCCTTTGTGAAATGAGAGCATGAGGTTTCTTATGAGAATGTAGCTACAAACTGTCTTTAGATGAGAGAACAGGCTGTTTTCTTCAGTTAAGCCTTCAATTAAAATGCACTTTCATATTCATTAAACTCAGAAACCTAGAACAATCCTCTCAATCTGATATGTTCCTATGAACTGCACGAAGGACACCAGTAATTATTAAATTTTCCAGATCTTGTTGACATTTCTGGTTTTATTCCTGTCATTTACTCATGCAGCACATAACACTGGATATGAATTTTAAAGGAGTATAGGCCAGGCAAGGTTAGAGTCTTACTGATGAGATTTCAGCAAAGAGGGAGATGGCAATATTAAGATAAATGAGACTAAATAAATAATCCAAAGACAGAGAGCTTCTTTTCCTTTTTAAAAAAAATACAATGACATATTCCAAAGAGTGCCTGATGACTTCTGAAAACATACGTTTAAAAATTTTATCTTATTGACTTTCAAAGTAATAATTTTTCTTCTAAGACTGTTAAAATTATCCTCTGCAGATGTTTACAAATAGTTTATTCTAAATTGGAAAGAAAAAACATTGTTTGTATACAAAGTGAAAACCCTTTTGTAGGATGCTTTAAAAAAAGATTCATGTATGCTATGTGAAAATTAATGCTTGAATTTACTTTATGTGTCAGATTTCATGTCCGCTGTAGCAAAAAATAGATGAAGACTTTAATTGCATGATTTCAACTAAATAAAAAATAAAGAGAGCAAAAGAATGAGATAATGAAGACTCCCATGCAAAGCTAGGTATCTTTCTACCTTCTGTGGACAATTCTGGCTCCCAAACAATCAAACAATCTATGAACTTGCTCAGAGAATCTATCTTGACTACCAATACTGGACAGAGGGCACCCTCTTAAAGAACATAGCAGGTAAGCCGTCAGGGTTCTGGCCACACCACGTTTGTTTCAGTCATAGGAGTTTTCTTTAATTTCTTTTACATATAAGTCTTCCATGTAAATATATATATACATATATATTTAACAAAATGTTCCACAGATTAAAGCTATTTGAAAAAACATCGTTGATTTAGAATATCTTATAGATATTTATAAATTACTGAATTTCAGGAATAAGGAAAAAAGCCTCCCAGATATCAACAAAACAGAGACACAATCATAAAAGGTTTCTAACAAATTAATAATGTTCAAGTTTGCCTCAGGTTTCTGCAACATAGTAACACAGGTTGGAAAAGAGTGCCATGATGTATACAGAGTACAGACAAAAATATTTTCACTCAAAACTTCTATATCTAGCTAGTTTTTTCTTCCAGTGTGAATCCAATAGAAAGATAAAAGTAATAAGATTATTATTTTGTTGACATCCCCAACAATCAACAGAAGATAGAAAATTTGAAACTACAGGGTGGAAGATATAATTTTTTTTAATTGAGAAGTAAAACCACATAGCTTATCATTGTCTGAATAGTTATAATAGTTACAAATGTAATTGCAACTATCAAAAATAATTATTAAAAAAGTAACACACTTACTGGTCAAAGTAAAGAAAATATGAATCTAAATCCCAGATAATTCCAAAAAAGACGTGGAATTAATAGTGAGTTGGATTGTAAAGAAGTTAAATTGTGTTTAAGTCTTATGTGATGAGAAACCATCTATACACACAATTTTGTTTCTATTGTAGATAATTAGAGAAAAATATGTTTAAAATCTTAAATGAATTGACAGGATAAAAACAGCATACTTTTTAAAAAGCATTTCAAAGGAGAAACAGAAAGAATAAAATAGTTGGATCAGAGATTAAAACTATGTTATGAAAAGAATCATACATGGCTTTAAAAATTTCCTTTTAAACAACAATCTCAGAGTGAATCCAAAAATAAGAGTTAATTTACAATGTTTGTTCCTATACTTAATTTTGTGTGTTTAAATAAACTATTATTGTAATTAATAACACCACCATACAGCTACATAGCTTTTACTCAGTCTGGCACAATTATGAGAACTTAAATATATTAATTTACTTTAGCCTCAAATGACCTTTCAAGAGACTTATCCCCATTTTACAGATACTTGCCCAGAAAGTTGAAAGATTTGTCCAAGGAAACAATCTATAGTTTAGATTTAAACTCAAGCAGTCTGGTTCCAGAACCCAGGCTGTTCTGGATACACGCTGGGTACCTGATGATTCTCGACAGCCTCTCTAATTAAGGGGAACATAAGAAACCTATTTTTTTTTAAATCTCAAGTGGTGCTCTCCCCTTTTTCTTTACTGAAGTGGGAAGGCAGGGTGCAGGGCACAGGAGGTGGCTGGGGCACGGGTTAGAGAATGAAGAGCATGGAAGAGCAGTGCTACGACTGAACAAAGATGCTGTTTCTTGGCCACAGTTCACCCTCATAGATAATTAGGCCGTCCTTAGGAGAATTCCTAGTTAGAATTCTCAGGCTCTGCCCTCATTAATTTACAGGGTATCTCTGAGAAATGTCACTGGCACAAGGTTCCTCTGCTGTATCTTTCTAAATATCTTATCCTCATCCCTTCCTCACAGTGAAGCCTTCTCAGCCGAGACCTCCAGTCAGTGGTTTTCTATTCCTTTAGATGTACTGCTTGTTCTTTTCCACTCTCCCTCCCAGTACTTTTTTTGTCTTGAGCCCACAGGATACTGGGAGAGTGGTATCTTTTACCCATATCCTAGGGTAAGGCAGAGAGAGGCTTCTCAGCATGTCTCTCTCTGACAGAGATGATAAGAAATGGTAAGAACTGCAGAGTCTAAATAAAATGTGCACCGTTCTCCCTTTACCAGTTTGTGTAAGAATGTGTGTGTGTGTAATATATAGGTGGACAGTTTTGATCTTTAAAGAAGATATCTGTATACTTTGTAGGTTGTTGATATCAATTGGGAGTGCAGAATTATTTACTAAACAATGGATTAGACGGACATCTCTGTGTATGCAGACTCTCCTACAAATACTCATGTATTTGCATATGCCATATGAATGTAAACTGTTCATGGAAATCAGATTTCTTCTTTTATATCAATCAAAACTTTGCCACAAACTCTTACGTGAAATGAAAATAAAACAGTGTCACATTAGCTTCTTTCTTTTTGTCCTTCTTTCAAATATGGGATACATGAGGTAGGTGAGAGCATGGTATTTCAACAGCGGTTTACATTCTTTTACTTACAGCCCTCATAGATGTCGGTGGGAATGTGGACCGCTGCATGCTGATAGGATATTTGTCGTCCAAAATTAGCATCATCAATAAAAATAGGCTTTATTCTCTGGCTGCCTGGCTCGCTGTCATTTTTCTCAGGCTATAAGGAAAAGATAGACATTAAGAAACAGACTATTATACTTTACACTAACACAGATATTTTCACATTCACTTCCTCATTTGCCAAGTGCATATTCTCTAAAGACTAGAGCTACAAGAATATTGTTAAATATAGTACCATGATGGCATTGGATAAAACATTTCCATTCAAGTATTATCATTCACATAATATCCTCATGATATTGTCCATGTTATACTATCTTCTCTCCTGATCTTCTTAATGTTGAAGTCATTTGGGATCATCCTGAGAGGACCAGAGCTTTTCAACAACAGAACTTATGAAGAGGTACATTTAAAGAACAGGAAAAGTGCCTTTAAATGCAACCAAATTAAAATTATGAACTTTAAATAACTTTTACAATTTACGTTGCTAAATTCATATTGGGCACTTGAGGATAATTCTTGGTTTGACACCTTCTGATATACAACTAATGACAGCAATAAGATAGCAACGAAGAATCATTCTATGTCATGTTCTCTTGATTTTTGCATGTTTTTCATATGTGTCAATTTTTGTTTTTTAAAAAGAAAGTATACTAGGAAAGAAGAGATCCATTATAACTCTAAATATAATTAAATCTTAACTTCAACAAATTTGTCTCATCCAATAGAAACTAAGATTCAATCAATAGTGCTTCAAGAAAATCCCACTTGAGTTTAAAGTCGAAGATTTATTTTCCATCTACAGAAACTATGCTTTTGATACTGAATTACCTTGTTGTCCTCCCCAGCAAAAAACTAATACTTTTATTCATTTATCCAAAATGCATCTATGACTTTTTTTTTGCTATTCATATTAAATTTTTCTCAGTTGAAATAGTTGTTTGAATGCTTCCCTAATATATATATATATATATATATATATTTTTTTTTTTTTTTTGTCTTTTTCGTGACCAGTAAGGGGATCGCAAACCTTGGTGTGGTGTCACCCGCACCGCGCTCAGCCAGTGAGTGCACCGGCCATTCCTATATAGGATCCGAACCCGTGGCGGGAGCGTCGCTGCGCTCCCAGCGCTGCACTCTCCCGAGTGCGCCACGGGGCCGGCCCCTAATATTTTTAAATAAATTCAGAAATGTATTTTTATTTTTAATTCCTTTACTATAGAGACTAATATTTTCCATATTTAAAAGTTAATCTCCTCAAAACAAAACTGAAAAGATATTTGACTATACCACATTACACAAAAATCACAACCTTCAGCAGCACACTGCAGTGATGCACATGATAAATAATAGAGAAGGCAACTGAACAACCAGAAAATGTAATAAGAAGGTTGGTAGAATGTAGCAAGAACATAAAATCAGCAGGTCGAGAAAGAAGTGATAGTGTACAACTTTGCATATTGTCTTGAAAATTTAAATCACCAGGTAACACATTAGTATTCTGAGATATTTTAAAACACACACACACACACACACACACACACACACACACACACACACACACACACACAGAGGTATTTTTTTATCTAGGAAAATTGCAACATTTAAAACACTATTTAGACAAAAGTATGAGAAATATAGCTTTTTGTATTTTTAACAATGGCTTCTAAAGCTGTAGATCCAACCTATCCTTAAGTAATAAAATCAATTTAGTAGCTCATGACCAAATTATTTTTTAAGTAAAACATTACTGAAAGAAAACAAAAGTACATGTGATAGAGTAAGAGGAAGAGCTATTTGGTGAAACTTGGTTTGGTTAGGCATGACTGGGTGTGTGTGTGTGTGCGATTTGGATTGTAAAATTTGTCATTGACAAAAACACTTGAAAACAGATCCCTATTTTTTATTCTTGTGAAAATCACAAATATACAATTGTTCTCCAATTAACAAACTGAATTTTACAAAATAACAGTCATGTTGAAAATCTAAAATCAGGCAAAACACCCACATGCAGAAATCGCTAATCATACTCTCCTCAAAAACAGAGGTCAGTATGTACAACATGAAGAGGAAAAGAGAGCCAGAGAGGGGGAGGGGGAATGACAAAGGAAAGAAAAACTACAGAGCAGGAGAATGCTTTACCTAACTTATAAAACACATCTGCTTTGACTGCAATCATTAATAAACGAAAGAAAGTGATAAACTGTTCCTTGGGCTTCATATTCTTGACTGTAAAATAAATGATGTTGGGCTACAGATGTGGATTCAACCATGAATTCTGACACAATTTAAAATTCACACTCTATTAGTCTATTCCTAGGTAATATTGACTTAAATAAGAGAAGGGCACATTAAAAACTAATGACCTACATTAATGACATGAAAGTAAAGAGGGCTCAAACTAATAAATGATGTAATTATTCCTCTCAGCTGCAAGCAATCTAAATTAGTAAAAAGTTTCAACATTTATTTTAAAGCAGCGATTTCTCAAAGTGTGGTCCTTGGAAAAGCATCATTAGCATCCACTGAAACTTTTTAGAATATGAACTCTCAGGCTCCACCCTAGACCCAGTCAATTACAGGTAGCAGGAAAGGGCGGCACTCCCACCGCGGGTTCGGATCCTATATAGGGATGACCGGTGCGCTCACAGCGCTCACTAGCTGAGTTCGGTGCGGCCGGTCTCAAAAAGGACAAAAAAAAACACAAAAAAACAAACAAATAGCAGGAAAGGAGTACGTCAATTTGTAGTTTAACAAGCCCTGCAAGTGATTCTGATACAAGCTAAAATTGTAGGTCCACCACTGTAATCTATCAAAAGCTTAAAGTAAGTATACATATTTAGTGGAACTCCTCATCAAAACAATTAGGATTGATCAGTAATAAGCATATTAATGAATGCCTAATTTTTGGTCCCCTCTATGTATAACACAGCTTTAGGTAATATGATGAGTAATATTTGTTAAAAGATGTTTCAAAAGACAATAGTCCCTCAAGATACTCCAGGGATTAGCTCCATCCTGAAATATTCTGCACATTATATTCTTCTATTAACAGAATAGCAAAGCACATTAGCATATCCAAGGCTCTGAGATATTCTGTGCTACAAAAAATTAACTGTGTTTAATCCAACACTTTCAAGCTTGTATCACCCTATTTTTTTCATATACCTATTACAAGGAACAAACAGGAAATACTATGGAAAAGCATACTGGAAAGGTATAAATGACAGGAGATTTGATTCTACACTTCTCCATCAATAACATCTTGGACTTGGGCCTGTCATTATTCCTTGGGTTTCACTTTCCTGACCTATAAAATAAATAATGTTGGGCTACAAATGAGGTCCTTTTCCTATGAGGTATATCAGAAACACCTGGGGAAGTCCTCACCCCAACAATAAAGCAGCCCTTCACAATGGGGAGGGTGGCTTTTGAAAGCATCTCCCAGCTGATTCCAATATGCTCTTCCACCTAAAATTAAGAACCTCGAAACTAAAGGATCTGTAAAGTTATTTTCAGTTCTGAGAAAATATAGTTCCATTTCTATAATTCTATAAAATAGTACATTATTTTTATAAGTACATCTTCCCTATAAGTCACATGTACATCTCTTTCTAGAAAATTTCAGATATATGAAATGTAGAAGGATTAGATGCTAGATAAATAAGAAAGACAGATGGACAGATGATAGATAAAATGCATGTATGAGTTAGGGTCAGGAATATGTAGATATGTGCAAATAATTCATTTACTCACCAAAAAAAATATGTATTGGTAAATTGGAGAAGAATTTATTCACATTGTTTATGGAAATGCCATTTATATCTAAATCTGGAAACATATTCAACAATAGTAGAGTGGTCACAATAATTACGGCAGGTAAAATTTTATATTGTTATTAAATAATGTAAAAGAATAATTACATTGGAAAAGTACATATATGCTGCAATTGTTTTAAAATATTAAGTTTAAAAGGTACATGTTAAGCAAAAAGAAAAAAAAGTAAATTTGGGGAGAAAAGAGAGGTAGAAGGAGAAATGGATATGTACATAGCAAATGTCATCAGCATGACTGTTGGCTCTGTAGTTATGAGAAATAGTTGTACTGATCACTGTGCCCTCTTATTTTTTCCCCAATAATACAATGAGCATGTATTATATTTGTGATAAGATAAAAATATTTTTATTTTAAGCATTTTCTATAATGCTATTAAACATTATGAATATCTTACTATGATGAAAATTATTTACATTTCTTCTGAGACCTCTCACACAAAAAATTAGCAGCTTTAAATACATTTTATGGTGGTTGTTACACATTTAAGTTACCATATAAAGGACTTTTAGGAATAACTTTAAAATAATAATGTACTTCTCAATTTGTATAATTATTTATTAAGATTCATTTTAATGTGCAGTTGATAAATATATTAAAGAAAAAATAATGCTGCAGCTCTCCATGTTTCTCCCTTTTGTAGTAGTTTACATAAATTAAAATAATTTCATAAATATGCTATAACTTCTGAATTCAACTCACTCTTTAAGCTATTCAAATTATTGTTCCTGATACTATCATAATCAATGTCTTTACTTAACTTATTATATTACAGAATAATGTAGTTTAACTAAAATACAGCATTTAGACACAAAGGGATTGACTGACATTTTGAAGAAAAACTATTTAACATATATTATCAAATGTGTTAATTCAACATCTCAAGTAAATTCCCCCCTGAAATTAAGATTTCCGTGTTTTTCAGATCACATACAAGAAGAAATAGCTTATATTTCTTTCCAACACTTTTTTTCCTCAATATATCGCTTCTGAAGTCTGCAGCCTACCATATATGTACAGAGAAACTGAGCACGTGGATTCTAAAATACATTCAAATGCATCTGGTAAAACACATAAATGAAACATAAGGTGCATGATTCTCAGACTATTCTCAATATAATTTCAGTTATTAAATAATAGATAAGATCACTCAGAAACAGAGGCACAAGCTAATGATAGTTCGGTAGGTCATTCAATTTTACAAGCAGTGCATATTAGCAAATTTAATTTGGTAAGTCACAAAGATAATTCTATGACAGACAC